CTGTAGGATATCCAGTAACACATCTTCAGTATCTTGTAAAAAATGAAGATATTTAACATTCAGTTTATTGTATTCAACTCCTATAATTGGTAATAAAACTTTCGAAAAACAGGATAGGAAAAGCGAAATCCTTGTTAATATCCGATTACTTGATATATTAGTAAATGTCAATAATTTGTAATAACAGCTGTATTATGATCTATCGAATGACATACGCGTTATCGACAATTATTCAGTATAAAATATTATTTTTTTTGTTAAAAATGTATCCACGACTTAATTTTTGTATTTGGTGACAAACCATGACAGTCGCGGAACAAAAATATGACAATACGATTATTTTAAATATCCCGAGTATTCAAAGGACAATTAAAACTGTAAAAACTAAAAATGTCAAGTAAAAACAAGTTCCTCTTTCTTTATTTAAACCTACAAACAATTAATACTTTTGCCAAACCATTGAAAATAATGTAAACTTGTAACAAACGATGTTCAAAGCCTTCACCTTCTAAGGCACAACAATTAAAAAAATGTAGTCACGACTAACTGTTTCCTAATACGTCTGTGTAACAATAGTTGTAGCGTTATGATCAACTACAGACACAAATAATTACTTAACAAGCATTTCAGTGTATTTTTACTTTCAATTTTTTGAAAAAACTGCCAATAACATTGTGCGTTACAACTTTGTGTTAATTTGCTGGAAGATGAAGACTAAATTGTTAGATTGCTCGTAAGAAGCCACACTTACACGTCTGAAAGTGCATTTAAAGTAACATTGCATAAATACCCTGGTGAGTATTAGGAAAAAAACAGTAGGCTTCGACAGTTGTTTACATTCTCGCGTTGTTAATGACGCTATTACATATGTAGGTACTAATATTTGTTGAAACTAAATGCCTATAGCAAAGCACATAATATATTTAATGGACTGGAACACAATAGACTTCAAGAACTCTCATGAATACCAAAGCAGCTTCAAGAACATTCTATTCATTATAGTTAGTCAGAAAAAAATATAATTAAAACAACAACGACATTAATCTTTCTGAAAAAATATCGCGTTACCCGCTATCTAAATATTAATATCCTAACTAATATTATAAATGTGAATGCAAGTTTGTTTGTTACTATTTCAAGCCATAACTATTAAACCGATCGTCATGAAATTTTGTACAAACATTGTCAAGGGTACAGAAAAGGACATAGGGTACCTTTTATCCAGAAAAACAATGCTGTTCCCAAGGGATAGAAAAATTAGTTTTATGTGGTCGTTGATGATCATTGACACTTACTTGGGGCATCAACAAAAGCGAAGCCCAGCTTAGAACCTATTATGAAGTTTTGTACCCACATTGCTAAGGGTACAGAAAAGGACATAGGGTAACTTATCCAGAAAAAAATACTGCTCCCGTTTCTCTATTCCTTATTAATTAAACATCTTTCTGTCAATCGGATTCCGAAAAGTAAAGACTTATCTTATCATACCTCAGAGAATTAACAAACTAAATATGGACAATCTACAAGCAACGACATACTACCCATGTAGTTCTTCGATTTATTCAAAACAGAAAATGTTAGTAGGTTACGGGAAGGTTCATGATTTTTCAACATTTTCTTCATACCGTCGCGTACAAAGAGGATTCATTCTAATGGTAAAGCCTGTATTACATCGACTTAAAAGGAGTTATAGATATGTATAAAAAAGCGCTACAAAGTAATACGCAATACCATATACGAATACGTATATTTATCGTTGCAAATAGCATTTCTCTAACAGATAGATAAGTGCAATTGTCTTTTTATAGAGCAAGTGAGAATCGATTTTCTTTAAAGAAAATGGCCTGCAGATAGATATATCGGGGGTAACCTCGGTATTAAAATTAAATTGGAGCGAGTCAATAAGTTTTTAGAGAATCTGAACTTACTATTACTGAAATGGAGCTACAAATACACCAGAAATGAAAAATAATTGATGCACTTACCAAAAACACTGGTGCCAGCCAATTCTGAAAATAAAAGAAGAAGTAATATTAGACAAATCCTTAAATTGTTAGACAATTAAAACATCAACCGATATACTATATAAAATTCAGAAATTGAAGACAAACTAATGCACGATATTGCAGAATAATAAAGTTTATAAAGTTGTTACTTAAATATTGTTGTTGTTTGGAACATAGAAAAAATGGGAAGACTTCTCCCATGGTTGCTTCACAGTGTGTCCATTACGAAAAGAATTACCTCAAATTTTTGCATAATAATTTGTATATTTAGAACGAGCTTTTGACAATCTTAAATGGAACAAGACGTTAAATATACTTAAAAAAATGTAGGGATGAGTTACAGAGATAGAAGAGTGATACTTAGTTTGTATAAAGATTAACAGGCAGTTATAGAACTGGAGCAGCAACGTAGAGAAAGAATAAGAGAACAGAGGACTCTATAGAAGTCAATAAGAAATAGGCGAGATAGGTTGGTAGGACACCTTCTCAGGCATAAAGGTTTAGTGAGAGACATATTAGACGCAGAAACGGGAGTTAGGAGGGCTAGAGGTAGACCTAGATTAGATTAGTGTTCGCAAATAGTTAAGGATGTGGGCTGTTCTAGTTTTAGGGAAATGCGAAGATTATCTTAGGAAAGGACACAGTGGAGGTGTCCAACCAGTCTTAGAACTGACAACCTTATGATGATGAATTTGTAAATACCTGACTTATCTAACATTAGCCCTACACCATATTCTTTGAAAAATTATTTTTTTCAAAATTAAAATATATAATAAGTGTTTTATTTTTCAATATTTTAGATAGGTCAGATGCTCTTTTTATATTGGACAAACTAATAGTTCGTTCAAAAAACGCATTGGTGAACACGTTAAAGCTGTAAAAAAAGATAATAAATTCCTGTAGGATATCCCAACGTTCTACAGAAGACGAACCCTATTCCTATTGACATTTTTCTCAATAAAGTACTATAAATATTTTTTTATTTGTTTGTTCAAGTTCGACCACTTGTTAGTGCCCCACAAACCGGCAATGCCCTTCGACTTTAAGTATTCAGTTCGAGACGACTTTGGTAACGATTACACCCACAACGCGATCAACGATGGGGACCGGACCACTGGCGAATATAAGGTTCTTCTACCAGATGGTCGGACCCAAGTTATCAAATACATCGCCGACTGGGCAACTGGTTTTCACGCCCAGGTACGTTAATAGGTACAAAAGGAATAATAATAGTAATATGCACTAATAATAGTGGAGAGACCTGAAAATGGATTCAGCCGAAACGTATCTTAAATTCTTACGATAAATAATTAATCTACAAAAATACGTATTGATCACTAATTGTAATGTAATTGTTCAATAAGGTAAGCTACGAAGGCCAACCCTCGTATCCTGCACCGGGTGTTAGAAGACCTACAGGACCGCCTTCAACTCCCCCAGTAACAGGTATATATTTCTCAAATTTATTTAACATACTTTTAAAGACTTATCTACTCATAAAATACTAGGGTCAATTGAAAAGTCCCCGGCCTTACACATAGATGGCGGCACCAGAACTAAATCCATATGATTTTCAGTTAGTCCTAACCTTCAAAAGACGCGTCTATAAATTTGACGGCTGTCGGATCATTAGTTTGTGAATTATAGCATTTTTAGTGAAGCAACTTTTGTTATTGTGAAAAAAATTGATAAAAAGGAATTTCGCGTGTTGATAAAATATTGCTTTTTGAAGGGGAAAAATACAGTTGAAGCAAAAACTTGGCTTGATAACGAATTTCCGGACACTGCCCCAGGAAAATCAACCA